CTGTAAAGCAGAGGCCATTTTTAAACAGTATAAACATGTCATTACACATAAACAACAGCAAAGTTACACTAAACACTTTGAATAACATACTTTTAAGCACTGATTTTAAAAAAATTGCATATGTAACAAATATGTAAATCATATTTTTCTACATATTTTTAAAAACAAAACATCCTGGCATCTGCGTGTGAGTAGAGCCCCCTAGTGGTCGGCCACAGTATGAGTGTTTGTATGAGTGTGCGCCTGTCGCCTCGCCAACTTGAGCGGGAGAGCGATAAACTGGAAACGGTGGCGTGGAAGGGACAAACTAACTACTACCACTTGTCTTTTGCTTTATTGTGCGGAGCTGGGAGATAATCAACTAGTTTCACTCGGAAATAAGTCAAGCCCAAATAAGCAACTTCACGTCCAAAACAAGCCAAAAAAATGCAACCCGCGACTCACAAGATTTGCAAGCTACTTTAGTAAAAAACAAGCCCAAAGTCACTTATAATAAGCAGACTTGGCAACACTGGTTAACTCGACAGCTGTCACAATTAAACTGTACTCCAAACCAAAGCTATTCATGAGTTAGCCACAAAGGGTAAGGTAGTGTTCTTCATAACCTTTCCACAAAACTTGACTTCAAAAGATGCCAACTCTGATTTTAGTTGTGTGCATTTAAAAATACACAAGTTTTGGTGACCTATTTAGGTCCCCTATTAGGAAACCGAGATCGGGTAGTGGAACGGCCTCCAACCTGGGACCAGAAAGCCACGACTCAACTCCCAACCATTCTCACATGCCATGGTGTCTCCGAGCAAGACTCAATCCCCAATTAGCTCCCCAGGTGCCCGACAGCCGCTCACCACCCCACCTGGGTGCATCCCAGGTGTGATGGGTTAAATGCAGAGAACCAATTTTGTCATTGTACAAAAACATACAACGATGACAACATATAGCACTTAACATATAGCGCTTACTTATTTAGTGATTTTTTTTAAATATTGATGTAAATAAGTGGGTTTACATCAATGGGTTTATGTGTCTTTATTGTTATTTTTGGTAAGCATTTCATTAGAGCAGTTTTGTGATGGACTGGTGACTTGTCTCTGCAGCCGGATGGATGGATGGATGGATGGATGGATGGATGGATGGATGGATGGACTGACTTTTTTTTTCTATTAACTTTGTAAAGCAAACTTTTAGGAAGCCCAGTTTCTGACACTCATCTCTCATTTGCAAAAATCCATTCTTTCTCCCCTCACATCTCGCTCCGGGTCTTTTTCACTGAAGCCAGCATTTTCCTGAATACTTAAACCCAGACCTACAAGAAGAGAGACAGCCAGGGAATGGGTGGGAGG